GACGTGGTGAAACTTTTCTAAATTATATTTTGAGCACTAGTTTCTGATTTTTCTTTCAAAATTATCCATAAAATCCAAATTTTCACACATTTTCTCCAAAATTATTTTCAATTTAATCATCCATCAATTTTATTTTCATTTTTACTTTAAATTAAAATTTTAAAAAATTGAAAAATTAAGAAATTATATTTATAATAAAATCCTAAATTACAAAAAAAATTAATATAGAGTGTTACAGATTATGTTGAATTTTTTAATCTAGTGTGTCTAATCCAATTAAGAGAATCTACCCACTTCAAAATATTCATTTTATTCAAAAATATAACAGACTCATTAGAATTAAACATGTAAGCTAAAGTTTAGAATGTGAATTTTCTGTAATTCTACTAAGAAGATTTTTCTCAGATAATCTTTCCATAGTTAATCCAAACATATTTAAATAATCTTAGTTCAAGTACTGTTATATAAAAAATTTACAATCTTATGTAAAATAATCAATTACAAAATTATAAAGAGCGAAGTATTATACGAAAATTACAGGAAAATTTAATTGAAAAGGAAGAAAACTGAAATTTATGATCATAAAACTTACATCAAGATTACCCATTAAGAAAAAACCCAATAAGGGTAGAATTAAGAACAAAATTAACAAAACAATGGGTGGGTTAAAAAGGATTTGGTGAATCCTTTTTTTTCTTTTTATATATATATATATATATGATATCAGATATGAATTGGGTTAATCTAAGGATTTTGCCATCCTTATATATATATATATGTATGATATCAGATATGAATTGGGTTAATCTAAGGATTTTGCCATCCTTCTATATATATATATATGATATCAGATATGAATTGGGTTAATCTAAGGATTTTGCCATCCTTCTATATATATATATATATGATATCAGATATGAACTGGGTTAATCTAAGGATTTTGCCATCCTTCTATATATATATATGCTATCAGATATTAATTGGGTTAATCTAAGGATTTTGTCATCCATTTATAGATATGATATCAGGTATGAAATGAGTTAATCTAAGGATTTTGTCAACTACCAAACATATTAAATATTGAAGCCAACAAAATGTATGAATATTAATCCATTATTATAAATAAGAAACTAAGTTCATAA